GATTTTGGGGGAGGGTGACAAACAGCAGGTGGTGAAGTAGTGTAGATCTGTATGCAAGCAACACTTCTGGGGGAGGGCCACCTTCACGTAATCATCTAAGCAGCAAACCAGGAGTGGTATGTAGCAGCGTGTTACACCCCATCCAAACCTGGCAGGAGGCAGTGACACAGAGCTATGCCCTGGTCCAAAGGATGAGCACATTAACACCTCTTAGATTCGATTCAGACACCTAACATGTCTGGAATTTCTTGCCTCTGTAGCCTGTTTTATTTTTATAGGGTTTTACTGCTTTAGCCGTTTTTCCTCCCTCCAGTGAAGCTCATATGGCAGGAGCTGGGGCTGATGTCTGGCTGACTGCTCTGGTCTGAAGGGCAGAGCTGATGGATGGGTGTTGAGTGACTGGGGGAGATGCTGAACTTCAGACTGCAAAGACTGAGCACATCTTTTGCCCAGAGGTGCACCCAGAGCTTCCTTGGCTGCCTGGGATCAACCATGTCATTATCAGCTGAAGGTGAAGAAGAAATTCACTCAGACAGGGCTTCTGCCAGTGGCAGCAGGGAAGGGTGGCAGGGGCCTGGCTCAGAGAGCACAAGTGCATCCCTGTCCTTGGGGCATTAAAACCCACCTAGGGTATCTCCTGTAATGGTCAGATGATCCTTCCCCTGACAGTGACTGCAGAAATCAGGGAGGAACTGGTTGCAAGCCTAGAGCATGGGAGACAAGAACTAGAAAAGACAGTCTGGGTCATCCCTGCTATCTCTCTGAACTTGGGTTTGGTTTTGCCTGTTTACCTGCTCGTGGCAGGTGTTTCTGGCTCCTCCTTTGTGTGTGGAGCAAGTATAAAAAACACCTGTGGTGCATTCCTTTCCCTCTTGGCAGGCTTTTCTACATGGGCTGGTGCATACAGAAAGTCAGTAGTTTGCTTCATGAGCCAGCCCTGTGTTGCCTTTTGAGGGGAGGGCTTGGTACAGTGCTCTGGGACCTCTTCAACATCTTGCTCCCTGCTGGCCAGGCTTTGCAGACCCTGTGCTGGCTGTTTCCTAGACAATTTACCAAGATCAGTACCTGGGTAATTTGCTACCTCTTTGTCCCTTTGTGCACACCTGCTTGTGCCTTTCTTTTGTGCACTGCTTCTGCATGCAGAGGGTGACTCACAGCATAGCTGGCAGCCGGCAGGTGACAAGAGCAACCTGCTTAAATGGGTCCAGTGGTTTGTGCATGTGACGGAGGTTTTGAGGAGGGTGAGGATGGCTAGTGACCTTTTTTTTTTCTTTTTTTTTTTTTTCCTTGGCAGCTTTATAAAATAAACAGGAGTTTTCAGAAGCATTCTCTGTGTAGTTTTGCTTCTCTTTCCTGTTGGAATGAAAGTACCAACTGGTGAGAGAACCTTGTGGAAATCTGAGGTTTTAATTGTCCTACCTGCTTACCGGAGGGAAAATGGGATTCAGCAGTTTCTTAAAGAGTTACAGCCTTCCACTTAAAAAGAGAAGTGTTTCTTGCCTAGTTTATGAACACATACAAACAAATCCCACAAACACATGAAAAACATCATCTTTTTTTACGCTGCTATCTTCTAAAGTTCAGATTCAAGCTGTAAGAAACAGCATTGGCGTTAAAATAAGGAAGGTGTCTAGGATTTTGCCTGCTGTTCTGTTGTATGCAGCAGTTTCTTTTATTCTGCCTTCAAAACTGCATTCGTTTCTCCAAGGAGCTTACAGCAGTACTGGGCCTCAGGTGTGGTGGACCAAGAGAACAGCAATTATGAGAAAGGGGGAAGATGTAAGCTGCTAAGGAGTGAGTCTTTGCGTCTGGGTAATAGAACTAAAATGTCGAAGGTTTGGATTCAGACGTTGCTGAGTGGTTGATATGTAGGGGTTTGGATCCTGGCTGTAGTAGCCTTGGGTGCCAAAAGAGATAGGCAGTGTTCCCCCTTTCCAAGTGATATCAGTCTAGCCTGAAAGATGAGACCCACACAGTATTCGTTGTGGCGTTCCCTGCTGTGGTTGAGCCTCCCGTTTTCTGCCTACACAGGGAATTTACCAAACACTTCCCAGGCTAGCAGGTGAGAAGCGGTGATTGTTGTCAAACTGTAAGAGTGTTTTAAATTGGAGGTTTCTTCATTTTTTTTTTCATCTCCCAGAGAGAAAACATGAGTTAATAAAACCTTTTCTTGCAGCCAGTTAAGTACAGTGAAAGTCATGACCGCGCCATAATCTCTGATCAGCTTGTTGCAATTTAGTGAAGCATTTAGGTGCTTGTCTCAGAGCTTGTTTGATTTAGTCATACTCTGGAGAAATATCCACTGAAAAGAGCTGCTGTCTGAATCAGGGCCTTGGGGAACAGCCATGAAATAAATGGTAGAGCAGGTGCTGTACTGTACACATCTGCTACTGGCTGCAAAACATGGCAGGAGGAAATTTTACTTCCCTGGAACATAGGAGTGCCCAGTAGACGTCAGGAAGGTGTTAAAGCATAAATTGTTAGGGAGAGGGGACATAAAACAGCTCTAAAAGGCTGGTGAGTCCAGAATCAAGTGTGCAGCCTGGCAGCAGTCTCGGCCAGAGACGTAGCTTGGGGGACAGGCATGAGAACTCACGTGTCTGCATCCCTTGAGAGGTCTCCTTGCTGATGTCTCTGTGAATGTGCTTGGCAGATACACCAAACATGCCCTGTATACAGCTGCCCAGTCTGTGGATACTCCCTAGGATTTTTTTTTTTTTTCCTGTTTTGTAAATAGCAGAGACTTTCTGACAGGCTGTGTTTGATGCTCTATAGGAGACAGTGCCCTTTGTCAACTGTATGCCGTATGACTGTGTTAGTGTCTGCTACTCCCTAAAGAAGGAAGAGGGAGTCTGGCTCATTAGTAGAGGTTGGGACAAACACATGTCACTTTCCACGAGGCAGACGCCTGGGGCATTTGTTGTTCCTGTATCAATCTGGACTTCTGCTTTTGTGTGTCCTGCTCTTTGACTGTAGTGATCCCTAGAGACTTTCTTAGCAGTGAAATCTCATAAAATGCGGTGCTGCACGGAGCAGGTGCTCATTTTCAGAGGTGGTGACCCAATATTGTAGGCATTTGGACCATAGAGCAACAATTGTGTTTCCCCAAGCCAGGTTTTTGCTGTTTGAAAAACTCACTCAGCCAGATGGGGGAGAAATGCTACTTCTGAAAAAATGGGGCAGCAACTGGGGAAAGTATGCAGCCACTATCCCTTTTATTTGAAGTGGTTTTCTGGCTCAAAATGTAAGAGGTATTTTGATCATAGTAGGAAGATAAGAATGAGTCAAAGAATAAGAGGGGGGCTTTGGCCAAATAGTTAAGAAACATAATGGCTTCTAATAGAAAATACTGGGTGACCCCAGGCAACCAGCATCAGCATCGGCTTGTGTAGAAAAAAGGAGGTGTGCCTAATTCTGCTGGAGTGTTGGCAACGTGGTGGGAGAAATACTAGCTCTTTCTTTTGCTTTCTTCCTGCACAGTGGTCTTAAAATGTCTTGATAGGCTTCGTCTAAAAATTAAGCAAAATGCCTGAAAATTGGCAGAAATGCCCTTTGGCTGTTTGCCTTTGGTACAGAGCTCCTTAGGTTTTCACAAGCAAGCTGGTATGGTGGAGTCTTGGCCTCCATTAAAGTAAATGACAAAAAGCTCTCAGTGTCAGAAATTAAGTTGAACCTTGAATTTCAGGGACTGTCGGTGAGTATGAATGTGACTGGACGATCACATCCAGAGTGTGGTGGTCAACGTCTCTTGAGTCCCAGTGGACATCAGTGACAAGTGGTTTCCCTCAGGGGTCTGTATTGGCACCAGTGTTATAATATCTTCATTAATGACATAGACAAAGGGATTGAGTGCAACCTCAGCAGATTGGCAGATGACACCAGGCTGAGGGGTGCAGTTGACACACTAGAAGGGCAGGATACCATCCAGAGGGACCTGAAAAAGTTCAAGAAGTGGGCCCATGGGAATTTCATAAGGTTTAACAAGACCAAGTTCTTGGTGCTGCACCTGGTTCGGGGCAACCCCTTGTATCAGCACATCTGGGGGGTGAACAGATCGAGAGCAGCCCTGCTGAGAGGGACTTGTGTGTGCTGGTGGGTGAGAGGCTGGACATGACCCAGCAAAGTGCACTCATGGCTCAGAAAGCCAATTGTGTTCTGGGCTGCATCCAAACCAGCGTGGCCAGCAGGGCAAGGGAGGAGATTCTGCCCCTCTGCTCTGGTGAGACCCCACCAGGAACACTGCACCCAGCTGGGGTGCTCAGCACTGGAAGGACACTGACCTGTGGGAGCGAGTCCAGAGGAGGGCCACCAAGATGAGGAGAGGGATGGAGCACCTCTCCTGTGAGGAAAGGCTGAAAGAACTGGGATTGTTCATCTTGGAAAAGAGAAGGCTTTTGGGTGACCCAATTGCAGCCTTACAATACCTGAAGGGAGCCTGCAAGTACTTTTTTACCAGAGCAGGTAGTGACAGGACAAGGGGGAATGGCATCAAACTGAGAATACAGTTAGATTAGGTATTAGGGAAAAATTCTTTACTGTGAGGGTGGTGAGGCACTGGAACAGGCTGCCCAGAGAAGCTGTGGATGCTCCATCCCTGGAAGTGTTCAAGGCCAGGTTGCATGGAGCTCTGAGCAACTTGGTCAGGTGAAAGGTGTCCCTGTCCGTGGGAAGGGTGTTGGAAGTAGATGATCTTTAACCCTTCCAACCCAGGCCATTCTATGGTTCTCCTTTTCAAAAGGCACAAACCACAAACCCCAAAAACCTGCTTGAGGAAATGACTGTAGTCTCAAAACCTGCATTTGGGATATTTTCCATAGGTGAGATTTCTGCTCCACATTTCTGCATTGCCATGAGCACATATGGTACTTTCTTGGTCAGAGGCAGCTTCCTTGCTGATATTAGTTGGGTACCTTTCCTCAACATTTGTGTATATTTCTTCAACGTATGCATGTGTGACAGGGGTCACGCAATAATTCCATCTCATTTCTCTCCCTTTGCAGGCCCTCTACAATTCAATCAAGAATGAGAAGCTGGAATGGGCAGTGTAAGTATACTGTGTAGAAATTGGGAGTTTAAAAATAGTACCTGTGTAGTAATCTGTTTATCCCTCCTATGGCACCATCTGTGTGGGCTCCAAAGCCTGTAGCAGATAGCCAGGGTACGTAATGAGTTTGATTTTCTGGTAATGAATGATCTGGCAATACAGCCTCATCTGTTTCTCCAGCAAGGGGAGTTGTTAATGATAGGAGCCAACTACATTTGTAAGGAAAGAGGACATTTCATTTAGAAGGAAACTTCAGCCTGAAAAGAGAGAAATTAAATCCTCTGTTGTTCTATGACTGCATAAATAAAACAGAAGTTGACTTCCCCCTTTATCTTTCTGTGCATTGTGTCAGAACCACTGAATAGAAACACACGTCTTGGATTGAGTTTCCTGCTGTTGGTTTATTGTCTTGGTTTGTCTCCTGATTAACTATGGATAACTTGACAACAACCTAATATGAAAGATGATAAATTGGACAAAGTCTGATATCACCCCCAATCCTTACCTGCTTTTGACAGGCTAACACTTGTTAACTATGGAAATACTGCAGACAAGCAAAAGCTTCTATTTCTGACTGTGTTAAATTGACATTTCGCTGTGCTCAGGTTTCGTGTGGTCTAGTTATGCCAGCAAAGCGTAGAAGGGTCTCCTTTAGATCTAGCCACTTGCAGAACAGTGGATTCTGATGTAAAACAGAAGAATGCTGTTTTCTGTCTGTTTTGGCTGTACAAAATATTTCCCTGCATGTGTTTGCGCATCTGAAACCTCACCTTCTTGGGAACAATGTATGTTCGGAGTGCATGCTGCTGCACCTTTTGTGCTAGAAGTCCTAGCAACTGCCATAGGTTTTGCAGGCCAGTTGGCTTCCAATCTTCCTTGTTTTAAGTTGATAATCTTCAAATGAGCTTCTTGTCAAGGTGGGCATTTACAAAGGGCTGCTGGTTCCAACTGGGATTGCAGTCCCAGTTCAGACATTTGTCAGGTAGTGTCAGAGTAGTAAAGAAGGTGTGCTGCTAAGGGGAAGCAGCAAAAAGTGCCATCTCTGATAAGCATCATAAAAATCGTGGTGGGAGACATTTTCGCAGACTGTGCCTTGGACCTGGAACACGCTGTGTGAATCTTACATGTCACACCAGAGCTGTTTGCCAGACCCTGTCACAGGTACTTTAGACCCAACAGAATCCATTATGTGACTTTCTTGATGTCAGAATTTTCCTCCAGCTCTTGCCAGGAAACCAGACCGTGTCTAATACACTTGGGCAGCCTCCAGGTGGGAACTGGCTCATGACTGGCTCTGCTCCCATGAACTTCAGTCAAGGTGATTTATGAGATAGCTTTCTCTTGTATAGGTGGTAACTGCTTTGGCATTTATGTAGTCTAGTCCATGTCGCTTATTTGGGGCAAAATTGCAAGCAGGCTGGAAAAGGAAGAATTCAGACTCTTCCTTAAATAAGACTTCAGGTAGGTATAAAGTCACCTTCTCGCAGGGGAATGCTCAAAGAGGCCAGTTGTCTGTTCCCGTCTGAGACTGACAGATGGCTGGGACTGATGTGACAATTACTTTCCATGACGAGAAGCAAATCTCATTCTGGGCATAGTCAAAGAGACTGTGCCTTTACCTTTAGAGCTGAGAGTACTCGCTGAAAGAAGGAGTGTGAAGATGTTTCTCCTCACTTTTACGGAGAGGTGTGATTGGTGTAAAGTAATAACCCCAAGGAGCCCTGTGGTTGCCTGAGCTAGAGGGAGGAGGCGAATAACTCTCTTGCTCCGCTGTTGTGACCTGCAGAGAAGGCCGAGTAGGGAGGAGACACGGTCAGTTTTACTGTGATGGGACTAAGGAAGATCCGTTCTCCCTTCCAGAGGTTACTCTTTTGCTTCCCTGATGCACTTGGCAGGGGAAGAAGTGGGAGGTAAGTCAGACGTGAAGATAAGTCTGCAAAACCCAGTATAAGCTCCCTTTCGATGCTGGCAAATTGCAGGAATGCCTTTCCTCCAGCCAGAATCCCTTGGAGGATCTAAGACTCTTACGACCCAAACAAAGGTTTAAGAGCTACCCTGGAAGTACATTATTTGGTGGATTAATGACTATCAATTAATCCATAGGCAGGGGAGGGTAATGGTGATACAGAAGAGGGGAGAATACTGCAACCTTGGTCCTTATCTTACTGGTTGTGAGCGAGGCGTGTCATCATCCTAAATGGCTTGCTGTACATTTCCAGTAGAATTATAGTCTGATCCAAAGCCCCTGCAAAGAAAAGGCTATCATTGACTCCAATTTTGTAGTCAAGAAAAGTGGCACCTTAGTCAGCAGATGTGCTTCAGAGACTTTCAGTAGGACTATTCATTTACCCTTGACGAACAGGAAAGCACGAGTACAGCTCTGAAGAGAGAACTGTATTACTGTTCTTTTTCTGCAGTAGTGCCAGGCTCAAGCTCTCCACGAAGTTAAAAGTGAATCACATACCATGATCTGTAAAATAAAGAGATCTGACCAGGAATTTACCCTGAACTGGTGAACGTGCGATCCTCAAAGAGCACTTCTACTCCACGCTGTATGCCCCAAAGGCGCAAATTATTCTTCACATCTGTTGTGGATGGGCTTAAATTTGAAGCAAGGGAAGTTTGGGTTCATCCTTTAGAAAAGCTTGCTAGCAATAAGCCTTTTAAACCAGGACACAGGTTTGCCTGGATGAACTACAGAAGTGCTTTCATCAAAGGTTTTTGTGAACTGGTTATTCAGTCTGGAATGGGTTGGGAAGAGTGGATCTAGCCTTAGAGATGGATTGGCCAACCTTCTAAAATCCATTCAGTTTCACTGTCCATAATTTCATATCCCAAGTGTTGTAGGTGTTTCCCATCCTTTTGCTTTCACACTGGTCATTATCATCTTCAAGCTGGAAGAGAAAAATCAATTGGATTACAAAGATGCCAGAGCTAAATATGTTTTGCTTGCATGATGTTTACATGGAAATGCGGTGGTGAACACTATTGTTCTCCTTTGTTTGTAATACTGTGTCTGCTTCCCATTAAAGGTGATAGGAATAATAAAATCATAATCTTAAAATAAGTGATCTAGAATGAAATCCTAAAGCACTGCTTACAAAATTGCTGAAGCCAAATGGGCACGTTTGAGCCAGCTGTATCCCGAAAGGTTTCTCGAAGCAGAACAGTATAGTTTTCAGGAGAACCACTTGATTTTTAACTAGCTGATGATAAAGGGTTTTTTCCAGAGAAGTTTAGACATGGGCACGGTGTATTCGGCTTTTTTGTTTTTCTGGACTACAATGAAAAATTATCCCTTTTCAGCCAAAACAAAACAGGTCATTGAGACAGTGATGGTGGGAAAGGGACACTGCCAAATCAAACTGTGATGCTGAGATCAGGGTGGTTATAAAGGCATCTGTGCTAAAGCTCACTTTTTTCTAGGTCAAACTGAGAAACTTCTCCCCATTATAATTAACTCTTTGTCTCCCAAGTTTTAGGATGCTTCCTGTTCACAGCTTCTTGTTTTGTTTTAGTGGGGGGGTCAGGTGGTCTCCTTTCTTCCCTCCAAATTGCCAAAACTTCTTTCAAGTCACTTTCTTAATACAGATGCTATCAGTTACACAGATGCATATGTTAAAAATCTGAATGGTTTGTCAGTTAAAATTTTTTCATTAATGAACCCAACCTTTTGCTACGCCATATAAGTTTGCTATTTGAACAAATGCAGAGACAAAGCAGCTTTTTAAAAATTAAGGGCTTCGCTCCATCTTTCTGGCTTAGTGACTTCAAGGTTTCCCAAGGCAGAACCTCAAATCAGACCACAGAGAATACAGTCATATTTTTGTTACTGAGAGAACTGGATGGTGCTTTTCTCCCAGAAGACAAAAACGGGACTTCCTTGTATAGGGTCTCTTTGGGGAGAGGCAAAAAATATATATTTTCACCAGAATGGCAGCATCTGGATTTTTAAGTTATTAAGATCTGTGTGTTTAGGAATAAGAGGCAAACTCTTTCCACTTGTCAGCAGTCATATTTGGAAAGGAAAACATTGGTGTTTCAATGCTCTGACTTGGACTGATAGAGCAAGCAGATCCTGGCTTTGGTGTGCTGGTTCTCATGGGCAGCCAGAGTGCTGGTTGCTACACTGTCTGCTGGTCCTTTTCAGAGAGACAGGATGAGGGAGGTGGAACTGAAGCTCCTTGTTTTGGGACACTTTGCAAATACCGTGTGCTGTAAGCAGAGTACTGGGGCCTTTTCCTGTCCCCAGCACCCTGCAGAGCAGAGACACTGTGGGTCCCATTTCATGTGGGTGGAAAGTAGGACCTGCAGGAGGTTTCACAGCTATCAACTCCTTCCAGTCATCAGAAAGGGGTCACCAAAGGAAGTGATTCCAGACCCAGAGACCGAGTTTATCTTCCTCTGCTGATCAAAGACAGAAAATCTCTTAAGACTTCTGCAAACCTAAGTGGACCTTCATGATAGTCTTTGGCTACTGTAAGTTTGTTTTTTCCCCGAAGGCACAAGGACTGTGCTATTTTCCGTATGAAATGGAAAGGAGGGGCACCGGTACTGCCCTTAAAAAGGACCTGAGCTATGCCTGTGTGACACCACATCTGTGATTCTGAACATCCCTGCACAGAGACCCCACCCACCAACTCTTGCCCTCACATCACCAGCGACCTTCACGCTGGGGATGTTACGGGGCTGGAGTGGGTTGTGAGAGGCATCTGAGGGTGGGGAAAGAGGCAGATCCCCCATGGGCTAGGGTTTCAAAGATCGATTTTCAGGTTTCTGCACCCAGAGGCCCACTCAATTTTCTCCAGTTGTTCCTTGCAAATATACCCTAAAGGCCTGTGAGCAGTAAGCTCAGATTGTTGCATCATTGATGAAGAGTATGCAGGATTTACCTATTCAGACAGCTTTGGAGGATACCTGAGCAAAGACTAATAGCTGAACTTTTTTGCTACTTTGACAGTCCTCCCAATTGTCCTGCATTCTTCTTATGCCTGACCACTGAACCAACGTGGAGTGTTTGAAGAAATGAATCCCAGATCCTCTGGTTTTCATACATTTCTTGTTTGTAGTCACTCTTTCCTGCCTCTCTAGCTCCCTCCATTGCAGCCTGCAGACTGAGTCGTGCATCCTTACCTCACGCATATTGTCAGAGTACTCAGCTCTCAGAAATGCCTAAATCTTCTGAGTCTCAAGGATGTCCCATTTTCATGGTAGATCAAAACACCAGTTAAAGGTTTGTTCAAAGCTACCAGCAGTCATTACAACATATGCTACTTTTTCCTTGTCCACCTTGTCTTTTGAAGAATTTGTGGTTTTTTAGCTGCCCCAGAGGTGATGAGTTTAAGAGCCCTGCCCCCAGCACTTAGGATTGTCCAGGATTGCTCATCACACCACCTGGGGCTGCTTGGTTAAGGGCATTGGTATATTCCCACAAGACAGTTGATGAGTATACAATAATTCTCTCCCATAGCTCAAAGGAGGGAGCTTATTCCAAAAAATGTTAAGCCTTTTACTGCAGTAGGTCTCTGCTGACAAGGAGAAATCCACTGTGTCCTTGGCTGAGATCCCAGAATTCACAAGGCACTTCTGTGTGACAAATCAGCCTGAGTGCTTATGCCCTTTGAGAGTTTTTAGTCTGGATTAAGTGCCACAGGCTTGAGAGAATTTGCTCCTGAAATGGACATATATCTAAGAAACACATGCCACACAGTGATTCAGATTTGCCAGCAGCTTGTGAGTGTAGTAGACACAGGAAGGGTGGGGGCAAACAATTTTGTCAGAAATGCCTCCACTATTTTAACTGGGAGAGGGCTTCAACCAAAGCATACATGAAGAAGTCCTTTACAGCTTTGACCAGTAAAAAGTTTTGCAGAACTTTTTGTTCTGGAGTGGGAGAGCTAAAAGATCAGTAGGCTAAAAGATGCAAGGACTACCCTCCCTTGCAGGAATCAAGTCTTCATGTGAAAGTTTTGTTCCCCTTTATCAGGAGACCTTGCAAGACAACACCTCCTTGACTATATCTCTACGATTAAATCAAGTGTCTAGCACCTTTGGGTGACTCTGGAGACAAATGTCAATGCGTAGCATCTGTATCCACACTGTTGAAAAGTTGTATCCTCCAAAGGGAGACACTTGTTTCCACGCTGCCTGTTAGGATGGTCCTTGTTAGGGTGGTCCTTGATCATGCTGATTCCTGAATGGTGTCTGGAAATTGTCTGGGAGGGTGCTGAGACCGTGCCAAGCATAAATTAATATGAGGTAATCAAAGTCAAATGCTTGGGAACATTCCCTAGTACTGTGGAGTTCATTAATGCAACCTCCGTGTTTCTGGATTTGGTTTCCTTATTGTCAAACCAGTCTAATATACCTTGATCTCCTTAGACTAAGTTATTCCCAGAAGACCATTTCACAGAATCATAGAATAATTTTGTTTGGAATCACATAGTTCAGAGAATACCTTTAAGGTCGTCAAGTCAAGCCTTTGACCAAACACCACCTTGTCAACCAGACCATAGCACGAGGTGCCATGTCCAGTCGTTTCTTGAACACCTGCAGAGGTGATGACTCCACCAGTTTCCTGGGCACTCCATTCCAATGCTTAATCACCCTTTCAGTGAAAAAATTCCTCCTGATGTCCAGCCTGAACCTCCCCTGGTGCAGCTTGAGGCGATGTCCTGTTGTCCTGTCTCTAGTTGCCTGGGAAAAGAGACTGAGCCTCACCTTGCTACAGCATGCCTTCAGGAATTTGTAGAGAATGATAGGGTCTCCCCTGAGCCTCCATTTCATCAGAGTTCGGAATAACACAGATTGTTCCTCTAGCCTGCAGTTCTTGGAGGACGTTTCTTTGAACGGTCATTCCCATAAATAGCCATGGTAGCCACGTGCCCCTAAAGGAGCTCCTGGATTGACATATGCCTTGCTAATCCTCATCGAATACATGCTTTTGAATATGTACATGTAATTGGAAGGTCTGCCCAAGCTTGCTCTCTCTGGTAATCATCTGGGTCCAGTGAATACAGCAGCTTGAAGCCCACCCCCAGTGGGTTGTCAATATTAGACACCATTATGCTCAAATGATAATAATAATATTTTTTTTTAGAATCAGATGCTGGTCTTAGGAGAAGCATTGCTACCTTCACCCTCCCTCATACACTTTTCCTAGTAAACTGGAGAGGAATGTATGTGGACTTCAAAGCACTCAAAGGAAGAAGGGCTGCTCTGTAATGTGACACTAGCTGTGGTTCCTCCAGATACACCATCCACCCACGTTCTGTGGCTTGTTCTCTGAGAACCATTGTCCTACTCTTGTGATTGACACCCTTTGTTTTCTGTGTTGTCTAGTCCTTTTTAGCCTTTGCCTGTAAAGAGCAAAAAGGCATTTATTAGTCAGTGATGCCTGTGACTTGCTGCATTGTTGTCCCCAAGAGCTATGTTGAATACAATGTCCTCATAAGTAACATTTTGAGCAGCATTTTATTTCCAAAATACTGATAATGTAGTTCGCCCGGTGTAGTTGTTATTTTTAAATTACTACTTTTATGCTGGTCTGTAGAGGAAAATAAAGAAAAGGAGGTAGAGTCTGTATTTCATATACTAAGTTAATGGGTAAGCCACAGTGATCTTCAGTAATCTAATTCTTTTAATCTACTTACGAACTCATGAAGAAATTGGAGAGTTTTCAGGAGAGCCCAGCAGGCAAATATTTCCCATTTTAGCACTCAGATAAGTGGAATTAAAAATAGGTGATGTGGGAGGACACAGAACACTCTTGAAGTCTTATCTTTTGAGACTGTTATGGAAACTTGGGCTTTATTGAAAATCTGGCTTCTGTGTCCTGTGCTGGTGAAGTAGGTGACCTGAAGCTTTGCTGTAATACAGCTGCATTATGTAGCAAATATATAGGCTTCTCTATAAAAAGGGCACCCTATAAAGAGAGAGGTGTGTTTTGACAAGCAGTATTCAAGAATTGCTGAAATGAAACTTTGCTGGTCATCCCATGATTTATGCTTAATTTTCACTGCTTTCTTAAGGGATGAAGAAGAGAAAAAAAAGTCTCACTCAGACGGTACAGATGAAAAGGATAACGGGAGCCAGACAAAGGCTGTCAGTCGAATTGGCAACTCAAATAACCCGTTCCTGGACATCCCTCATGACCCCAATGCTGCTGTGTACAAAACTGGATTTCTGGCTCGGAAAATCCACGCTGATATGGACGGAAAGAAAAGTGAGTATTTTTCGCTCCTAACGTGCTATTTTCTTACTGTGCCTGCACAATGCTCCTTACGAGTGACCCCACGTGCTTCTCAAGGCAAATAGTGCTGCTTCATTAGGGGGAATTGCAGCAATAACAAACAACACAGCAATTGGATTATCAACACTCTCGCTGTTGGGCCAGGATTTACAATGCTTAGTCCCATTTGCAGCAGCTCTAATGCACGAGCATAATAAGTGATGTGATACGGCAAAGCAATGGGAATTTCTTTTTGCTCTAAAAGAAAATTAATATCATGGTTTACAGAAAGGAGAACAATTTCAAGCGAATTGCAGTAGCTGTTCCCCGGTAATTTGGTAATCCTCCGTTTCCTTGCGTGACACCAGTTTGTTCCAAATCTCCCCTCCCTTCTGGGTCTGTCTTTAAAGAAGGTGTGTTCTTTACCTCTGCTGCAACCATTCCCTTCCCTTCTTTCCCAGCCTTGGGTCAGACAGCCAGTGAAGTGCAGCAGCTTTTGGCAACAGCTGTTTTTTTACCATGCAGTTCCTCTCTTCCCCCCTTCTTGTAATAATCCTGCTGCGTCTCTTGCTTTAATTAATCCTCTTTCATTCTTTTACTACTTCTGTTTGTGGTGCACTAATTACTGAGGACCTCTGATTCACCTGCGTGTGTTCTGTTGCTTGAGTATCTTCATTTGTTTTCTATTGGTATTGGAAACAGCAGAGCATCTGTATTTTCCCTGATAATTGTTGATGATTGCCTGCTCGTGGTTCACATTGTTGGGCTAAATCCTGAAGACAAAGTCTGGCTTTGTGGTGGGTTTCCCGTAGCTGCCAGTCTCTCCTGGCTAGGCTAAGCATTTTGGTGTCCACATGTTTTGCTGGTGTATTTTAGAAGGTACATTTGGAGGTCGGTGTTTTCAAGATGGAAGCTGACAGCTGGACAGCTAAATCCAGACAGACATGTCAAAATCAAACTGACCTCATTCTTTGTGATGACTGGATGCACTGAATAGATTCCTCTTTATTAAATGTCTGCTTATTTAACCTTAATAAGTAATTGTATCTGGTTGCCCTTATTAAATGGTTTCTTTAATTATAGGTATCAGAACTGCTCATTATTCATCACACTGGATGCTGGCATTTTGGGCATAACCCTTTTATGAGTAATGTAATTAGGGCCATGTTTTCAGAAGCTCCTGTACAACTTGTAGGTCTGTCTCGTTGTCCTGCAGCTCTCAAAAAAGTTGCATCCTTTCTAGTGGCAAGTAAAACAATTTTTTTTTTTTTTTTTATAGTTAGTTAGACCTTTTCCTATTTCATTTCCTAATAGAGCTGTTGCAGGGCAGAGATCAGCTTGTATGGAATTTTTAAGGAAGTGATATACTAGAATGCCTATATATATATTTTCTTAGGAAAGGAATATTGAGGGCTAAAGCACTTAGGCACTTAGAGGAGAGGAATGTAAGAGGGGCCTATGCCTGGAAGCTGAACTGAGCAAATGCCAATTAGAAATAAGGTCTGTTATACAAGATGAGAATGATTAATCTCTGGAGCAAGGGACCTGTAACCTCTCCATCACTTGCTTTCTTAGATCAGAGTGGGATGCCTTTCTGAGTGTCATGCTTTAGTTGTGCACCAGTTATTAGTTTCAGTACAGGGGCAGTGGTTTGTATGTATCTGAATGCTGGTCAAAGTTGTGTGCTTGGTGGAGAGAGAGATGCAGGCTTCCAGTCTCTGGCACTGTGACCATACAGCTGTGCTTTCTTTCCCTCTGTTGTAACTGAATTTCAAACTGGATCCTTCAGCCTTCATGCTGAATTTTTTTTCCCCCCTACTGTATGTTTCTAGGAATTAATTAATGGGCTGGATATGTTGTCTCTGTAATGTTCTTTAACCTCTAACTGACTTTAGGTTTCTTAAAGGGTGGCTTTTTATCCCTTAGGATTTTGTTTGGCACCCTTCTCCTTTCTAGATGGCAACTTGGGTGTGCAGCACCAGCAAGAGGAAGGATGCTCTTGAGAGGCAGTGCATTCTGAGCAGTGTCCTGTGGGTCCTGAGCAGTGCCAGCCAGCCTGCTGTGACATGGAGAAAGAGTGTTTCTTTCTGAAAACTACCACAGTGCAGCACTCAGACCTAGCTGTGTAGGGGCAGTGTCTGCCTACCTGCAAGTGCACAAAGACTGGATCTCTGTGGCCTTCTTTCTGCGTTGCTGCTGTTCCCTTTCTGATCCAGTCCAGGGCTGTCGTCAGGGTTGTTGTATTACTCTCTCTCACAGCAGGTATGTGCAGGCGCTGTGCTAAGTTGCATTGTCCTCTGAAAAGGATGGTACAAAGGAGGTTTAACGCAGGACTAATGTAGCTCTCCTGTTGCCTAGAAAAAGTGTAAAAATGGATCCGAGTTAAATGGGTTTTCGTTTGTTTTCTTTGCAGCTCCCCGGGGAAAGCGAGGCTGGAAAACCTTTTATGCTGTGTTGAAGGGAACCGTCCTGTACTTGCAGAAGGTAGGGGAAATCACTGTTTTTTGAAAACTAATTAAAGAGGGGTAAAGCAACAGGCATCCTCTCCACTCTCTCAGCCCACCTCCAGGCTCCTTTCCCTCCGACGCACAGCGTAGCTGATCTCTCTCCCCTGAACCCTGTTTACACACACACACTCAGGCATGAATCCTTGTGTTGACACCCTCTCCCTTGTCTCAATTTCAAGCTCAGTTCCATTCTCCCATCCACGTGTGCACCCTCTCTGTCCCACTGCTGTCTCTCGCGGCTGAAAAAGACAGCCAGCTCAGCAGCAAAGGCAGCCTCGTCATTCTGTGTCCTGCACAGATTCCTCTAGGGTGCTTTTAACTTTGCGTTTCATACGCATGACTTCCCCTTCTGTAAGGTTGTCCTCCTTTCCCACCTTTTCATGGTACACTTTACTGCAGTGCCTGCAAGCCAGCTGCAGAGCAATTGAACAACAGCTTGGCCTTGGTAGGAATCTGCAGCTTCTGTTCCGTTGCAAAACTGAAAGATAAAAGGATACTTCTTTTTTTTTTTTTTTTTTTTTTTTTTTTTTTTTTTTTTTTTTTTTTTTTTTTTTTTTTTTTTTTTTTTTTTTTTTTTTTTTTTTGCCAAAGCAAGAAGAGACCGGTTTCTAACAAAATGTGCTTCCTGACAGCAAGAAGTCTAAAAAAAAAGTCAAATGAAACCCTCCAAGCCTTTTGTCACAAGCTTAAATTTATTATAGCACATTTTTAACTATACTGCTGGAACATAAAATGCAACATATGACTGAGAGCTGTCAAAATCAAATAAATGGTAGCAGCTAAGTAGGTTGCTAAGGCTTTTTGCCCCCCAGTGTAGATGAAATATTCATGGAATAGGTGCTGTTTGTCCAGACTGCTCTGTATTGCAGAAGCATGCTTCTTCGAAAGCTGTTTTACATTTCCACCACGTTTTGCAACTGTCAGGAGTGCAAGTACATACTGCAAGTACATTTCCTCCTCCCCTGCTGTGTCTTTCTGAAGTTGTTGGTTTCATTGGCACCAACCTGGATGTTCTCTGACAAGAAAGAGAGTGGTTTGGATCAAATTATTATAGCATGGGGTTTACAAGGTGGATGCTCTGGGTACCTTTTTGAGGGGGCTGAAATCCTGAAACAGACAAAACAGTCTGCAGTCAGGATGGAAGATTTGGGCTGAAAGATGGGTGTGATATGCTCAAGGTCAGTGCAGGAGACTAGAACCAAGTCTGCTGAATCCCAAGCCCTCTTACTGGCAGCAGGTTCAGGTTTTACTAAAGTGGCCTTTGTACTCGCCATTTCCTGGGTGAAATGAAGTCACCTGCTTCAGTTTCTCAAATAAGTCATCTTTAGTGTTCACCTGAAAAGACTGCATGGTTCCCTAAGAAGTAAGAGAGTTCCTTGTTTGTAGTACATTAATTAATTTCTTATTTGGTATTTAAGGAGGGATTAATAAGCTTTTCAAGGGGAAGAACCGAGAATACTGTCTGTTTTAGAGTCTTAATTAGATATTGTTATGAATATTGCTGGCATATTAGTTTAAAATGCTTTCTGTTCAAAAAAATGTTGAGATGCTGATGTGGCATGCAAATTTTCTACAGAATGCTGCTCTCCCCACTCTCACCCTCCGTGCATTGAAGAGCAAATAGAGTAATTTCCCATGTGACTGAATCTTTGCGGAATGAAATGCATCGTTGGCGTTCTTGTTCTTATTTGTTTGTCATTTGTGTGTTTTTCACTTGTCAAAGCACTTGAATTCCGTGATTACAGGGCAGTACTCTGCAAAGCTGCATTCTCCCACTTGGTCTGGAAAACATTTGCACTGAAACTATCTTACTGCAGCACACTGACAAGCAAGGCTTTTACTTTGGTGCTGTCAAAGGTTGACAGAAGGGTGTGATGGGAAGTAACTCTTTCCAGGAGTGGTCAGGGCAGCTGTGAGCCTCCCCAGGGCACTTAAATAGAGTTTGCTCTCTTAGGGATGTAGTGTCACAGAAGGTGAGGGTACCAGGGTTTTAAAATAAGACCTAGGCCAAGCTGTTATAGTAAAAGTTTCTGATCTGTTATTTCCTTTTGTAGTGTACATATTTCAGCGTTAATTATAGTAATTTCAGAAAGTTCAGGAGTGTTTTAGAACAGATTGATTTCTTTGTGGAAGTGCATAGATCTGACAGTAGTCTTGGTCAGAGGATTTCCTTGTCTCTCTTCGTCTTGTCTCCTGATTAAAGAGGGCTGTGGGCTAGGGTGCATTCACATGCACACACACATTTTTCCTCTTTCTCTCACTATCTGTATTTGTGGAGATAACATCTGTGATGGTGGCTTCGTTGCACTGAGTGCCAAGCAAGACAGGGAGAAATCTCACTGTTCAGGTGCTCTCTATACATAAACACATGTGCAAACCTCTGCAGTATTGCTTTCTCTGTTTATCTGTAACTCAACTGTTCCCTCAAGACACTACTGTAATATAAATATTAATTGTTTGTAGCAGCTGTGATTCCCCCAGTGGGTAGTGTGATCCCAGTTCTGCTGTCATTCTGTTTACATTCCATTGCTCCCTGTTTTGCTGTCAAAAGTCCATGTATGAGAGTGTTTTGTAAATGGTGGTCACTGGAGATTCACTGGGGAGTTTTTCTGGGCAGTCTTGTCTCCATGCCCACATTTTTTATTTTTTAATTTTTTTTTTCCATTGGAATTATTCCAGTGCTAATTCCTGTGCTGCATATTGTTTCAAATGAGTGCTTTAAGAGAGATGGTTTCTGAATTAGTGAGCCCAGAGGGCACCCGAGGGGCTCAGTGCAAGCATTCACAATTAGCCAACTAAACATGTCTGCACAGTGTTACATAAAATGAAAAGTCTGACATGTTTGGGATGTAAGCCCTGTCTCTGGGCATCCTCAGGCCAAGGTTAATTTCCTGCCCTCTGTTCATAGCAACAGGAAATTGCAAAGTAGGAGCTTGACAGAATGTCTGTTCGCTAGACTGGCACGGGGTGTGATGTGCATACAGAAGGGAGGTTTAGAAGGAAAGGACATAAAGCTGACCTCGCTTCCTTGCTGGAAACTGCTTCTGAAACTGCTTCTGGGCAAGAAGTGCTGGACAGAAACCTTCCTGTTTTGTTTGGACTCTTCTGTGAGGTTCACAACATCTTTGCTCTTAGATGTGTGACTTCATAATCTTGCAGGCGTCTGGGTATTTTTATATAGCTTTTCTCAAATTTTCTCTATAAAAAGTTTAAAAAAAAAGAAAAACAACAAAAAAACAGAGAAAGGCCAGAATGATGTAACGTGTTCGGTGACGAGACTTTCTGAAAGAGAATTTTGCAGCTGTCACATGCAGCTGAGTGGAGATATCCACCCACAGTACATTGACTGATAAAAAGACAAATGTCATTCTCTGGTCTATCAAAACCAGATTTAGAAACATGCTGACTCTGGGTCAGCAGGATGTGGGAAAGTCATTCTCCAGGAGTTTGAGAAAGATGAATTCAGCATGCCATTCCATTGTGTGCAGCACTCACATCAGCCTTCAGTTGACAGGGCGGTCACAGTTCCCTTCTGGCTCCAGATATATATTTCTTGCCACTGTCTTGGTCTAACTTTAGAGAGCTGCCTTCTATTTCAGCTCAGCCTCCGTGCCGACACCAGCACGTGCTTGATGGCATAGGAGAAAACGGATGTTCCTGCTGCCATGGCATTCCCCACCAGTCATAAAGAGCTGAAGGCCTTAGAGAAGGAATTTTGACAGCTCATTCGTGTTCTTAATAGCTTGCTCTGAGGCCGGCCAAGGACATGGAGACATCTCTGGTATTCTGATCAGTGCCTTTGGAGAAGCTGGCAGAGCCCCAGCTGTCAAGGTGGATTGCAGCTAACTGATCTGGTGGGATTAGGAAGGATTATCGGGAGCCCCCTCTGTCGGAAAGAAGGGGTTCTCAGCCAGGATTGCTTCTGGGGCTGCCCAAATGTGGAGTTTTTCTGGAACAGTTTAGACACCAGAGCAGGTTGTGGACACCGGATGCAACTCACCCACAGAGGAAGCTGGGCAGCAGCAGGCTAGGTGATACCTGACACTGTCTCTGAGCATTAACTCGAGGAAAGATGGAATATCATGTTCCTGAGGCCTATCTAAGTTCACTTCCTGGCTCTGAAGTTTTCCCAGTCTCCCTGAGCAGTGGAGCCAGTCATTTCCCCAAAACTACCACCAAATAAATCAGCTTTTGAACCCATAAAGAAAGGAGTTTGACCTGTTGCTTTACCTCTTCCGTCTTCAAGATGGAGATGTGCCAGACTTTGGACAATCTCGTCCAGTGATTGTCCTTTGGCTAGAGTCTAGAGTCTCAAATCTTCCTTGAAGAGGGTTTAGGGAATGCCCTAAGTGAGCACAGACAAAGTCTGACATGATAGAGACATTCGTCCAAGTCTTGTAGAGTCTCGAGCTATGGGAGAGGAAGGACACTTGGCTTTGCCCTCTGCCAGCCCTTGAAAACCCCTTATGCTGCAGATGTTTAGGCTGAAGGCTGCTCTTTGGTCACCCGTGCAGTGGTACTCTGTCTTTCTGCTGGGCTTGCCAGAGCTGTGGTGTGTTGTGCCATTGCCTGGCCCCAGGTGGAGGTGGTGCTGGGCAGGGCTGCTGGATAGCTGCACCTCCTCAGGTGAAGTTTCTGAGCAGCAGTGGCAAGTTCTGGTCCTGCACTGGCTGGAGCTCCGTCAGGAAGGATGAGACATGGCAGAGGAGCAGGGATGCTTCATCCCGCCTTCTGAGAGGTGGGCACCACAGCTGGTGATGCCCCATCCACTGAAACTCGTCCTGGAGAGCCCCAACACATCTTGTCCAAAAACACAGGTACCTCTGGCAGCAGTGTAGGTACCTCTGGCTGCATTCCTGTTCTGTGTGCTGCCAGAGAAACCCTGTAAACAAATCCATGCAAGTTAACTAGCTCCTCTTCAGGGCAGGTACCTCCCTGGCTGTTGAAGCTAGTGCTGTCCTTGCACACACCCAGTGTCCTGCACTCTGTTTCCGGCTAAACCTTGTCTCGTAACTTGTGTTCAAGTGGAGGATCAATAGTTATCATGCCTGCAGGGAGTTATTCCTCTGTTTTGCAGCTGTCACAGGTGAGACTGATTTCTGTGATGTACTAAGAGAGAGGGAGAAATGGAGTCAATTACAGACTGCTTTGGCCTGTCCTTCAGAAGTAAAGTGATGCAGCATTGCTGGCAGATGACTTTTTCCTTGAAAAAGCTCCTGGCTTTCCCAAGCCATTTATAGTCATGTGGGCTTCACACAGAACTTGTGGCTAGACCGTGGTTGTGCCTTTATATAGCTTCTGTCACTCAGGAGATCAGAGACTGCTTCCAGGCTGATGCTTGCAACACAAGGGAAGTTTGACTCCCGTTTTTGCCTTTTGGCGCTAGCAGTGGTATTGTTACTGTGTCAAAAACCCTGGACAGGGCTGTGCTTGCCATCTGTGGGCTCTGAGCAGAGAGATTTAAGGGAGTTTGCTATTATTTGCTTTGTGCAGACTGATAAGGAGGCTTCTCCAGTGTGTGAGGGCCTGCCTAGGAGAACATGCAAAGGTATTGTTTGAGAAGACTTAAAATCAAGCAGTGGAGGCTGAGAACCCCAAGTAGCTGAGCAGTGGAGGTGGGCGCTGGTTGTGAAGGAGTCCTGAAATGAAGACAGATAGTCTGTGGCTGTTGTGATAGTCAAATACTTCCTGTTTACCTCTCTATCAAGCAGGTAGCAAAACTACTTCTCTCCCTGGGAAAGAGATTAAAAAAAAAAAAAAAAAAACAAAGAGAAAGGAAAATATGTTAAAGGTGCTAAAAACCACAAGTGCTCAAGTAAGGTTGCACTCCGTTCATACACTTCATTACCGTCCGTGAACTGTGGAATGTGGTTTTTCCGTAGGATGAGGAAAAGGGAGTAGCACGTGCAGAAATAAGATGCCATTTCCCCCCCTGTTAAATCCTGCAGGATGAATATAAGCCCGAAAAGGCTTTGTCGGAGGAGGATCTGAAGAACGCGGTGAGTGTGCACCATGCACTGGCGTCCAAGGCAACAGACTATGAGAAGAAGCCCAACGTCCTCAAGCTTAAAACAGCAGATTGGAGGGTCCTGCTTTTCCAAGCCCAGTAAGTGCTCTCTGCATGCCAGCCATTGAGGAAAGAAAGCAATGCTGAAAGAGGAATAAATTCGTGCCTGGGCAGGTTAAAGCAGAGGCTTAAGAGGTTCAATCTGTTTATTTGATCAGAAATGAGATTAAGTAGTGATGTGATTAGAGTGCACATGTAGTGCATGAGAGAGAAACATCAGGTTTTAAGAGGCTTTTTAATCCATCTGAGAAAGGCATAACAAGATGCAGCAGCTAGAAGCTGAAGCTGCAGGAAATTCAATTTGGAAACAAGGCACAAACTTACAACAGTCAGGGTGATTAATCATTGAAGCAAATGACCAAAGGCAGTCTTGGATTGTCTGTCTCCTGATGTCATCAGGTCCTAGCCGGATATCTTTCTAGAAGATATGCTGTGGTCAGAAACAAAGTTAATACAATAATGATTTGATTAAGTTCTTCATGCTGTGATACCCAGACAAGAACAGATGACCTGCCTTTTGCTTCTGACATGAACCCCTTTCTACCACAACCATGTACAGATCCTGGAGATCTCTGATGTCCTGCACAACTGAGACCTTAGGATATGTATCTGAATCAGGGCATTGGCTGGCTCTGCCACCTGTGCCTTTGGATTGGATTAGGAAAAGCTGCGTGCTGGGGTGAGGTATGGGCCTAACCATAACCCCGTAGTCTTAGTCAGCTGTCACTAACTGCTTGCGAACATAGACCACAAGACTTAAGCAGGCTCTTAAGACTAGTCCAGTTCTGGTTATTCTCTTTTTTAAAATGCTGTAGAAGGGGTGGAAAGAGGTAGAGGAGGCTTCAGTCAGCAGGTGCCTAATGTGTGTTTCTTCCCCAGGAGCCAAGAGGAGATGCAGACCTGGATCAACAAGATCAACTGTGTAGCTGCTGTCTTCTCTGCACCGCCATTTCCAGCGGCGATTGGCTCCCAGAAGAAGTTCAGTCGCCCGCTCCTGCCAGCCACCACAACAAAGCTATCTCAGGTGAGATGTTCTTATGTGGAGGGCAGGTGGTGACGATCTCTCTTGCTGGCTGGAGACGGGATGGTGGTCCTTGTCACTGTTTTATGGCTGTTGCCACTGGCAGTCCCAGGAGAAGGAGGCTTACATGGTAAATCTCTGCTCATCCCCTGGTGCAAGATTGGAAGTGGTGGGAGAGAAGGAGCAGACTTGAATATAGTTGTTTTATATTTTTTAAGAAAAGAAACAGTCACCAGTGTTCCTAGTACCAGACAAAGAATTTTCATCTTGTGCTTATGGCTGTGTAGAAGACATTTCAAATACTGACTGGTGGGTTTTATGAAATGTGAGTGTGTATTAAGGCCACTCATTTCAGAAGAAGTAGACATTTTCCTGGTCTTTGGCTTATTGAAATGATAAAAGGTGAAAGCTGATGGATTAGACATGGATTAGACAAGCATCAATTATATTTTTCCCACGACGTTTTCCAGACTCCAATCCTTATCAGCCCAGGGATTTCCTGTATAGTACATGTCTGTAACTGTTTCTTACATGAATGTCTTTGGTCTCCCCTTGTGATCACACAAGCTTTTAGCATCCTGTGTCAGGGAGTTTCGGAGCTCTACTTCTTGCACAAAACCCCACATACTTCTGCTTGTTTCACACTGGCTGTGTCAGGTGCTTGCACCCATGGCTCCTTGAACTTTGGGAGATGTGATGCATGACGTCAATTCCCTCTGCCCTGGCAGGAACATGACATTGTTTGCGTTCATCAGGTTGACAGAGCGACAGGTTATACTTCGCGAGTATTCTCCTGTACTTTTTAAAGTGATCTGCCCATGCTGGATTGCTTCTTAAATGGGTCTGGGTTTTTTTACCATCTTCATAGCTTAGCAACTCTCCTTAGAAACCACTGTCACAAAATCTGAATTTCTCTAAGGGGGTGTTTTTTTTAATGTCACCCCTGCTTTTTCTATCTCCATTGCAATAGCCTTTCTTCTTACAATATGGTGGCCTACTTACCATCTTGTGTTCTGGGCTGAAGTTTAAAGCACACTTCATAAAGGATAACAGTAACTTGTCATCCTTGTGCTTTTACCTTTTGCATACCTTTCTGAAATTACTGTACAGGGCTTCCATAATTTACCCCTAAAGTCACCAAAGAAGCCTTTTTTACTCATCGTTGTTCTGTGTGGTGGTTCCATTTAGCACAGTTTCCTAGTCTAGTTTCCATTTAATCTGGAAAGGGAAAAAGTAGATCACAGCCCTGTGGTTTGTGTCTCCAAGAAAGGGAGACATGAAAAAGGGAGTAAGATAAGCTGTTTTAGTTAAGGGCAGAAGAATGTTAAATGTTAAATGTAGATAAATTCAAAGGTAAGTAGAAAGATGTTTGCTTTCATCTGTCCGTGTGGAGAAGCTACCAGCAGGCTGTTTCTCATTTGAAAGACAAAAAAAAAAAAAAATTGCCAAGTCCATGTGGTTGCTGTTTAGGGTTTTGGGGGATGAATCATGATGGACAGTACTTCTTCAAAGGGTCTCTTCCTGGTCAGGCAGGAGGACCTAACCTGGATGAGGAAGAGAGTTTGGACATGCGCAGACATGTTTGGACATGGGGAAGATCGTTGTACCAGCTTTTCCTTTAAAAGCAGAGGATCTTGGTTAGTCCAACCAAAGAGGGATATGACAAATCTATATATAAAGGAACAACCAGTCTAGAAAAGATCTACTTGGGTGTTGTTTGATTTTTTTTCCTGAGAATGTGCAGCACACCCAAAAGCTCCAAATCTGGTACCCAGGAAATTACAAATGCATTATTAATAGCTGCTCAAAGACCTCCCGTCATCAGGCTGTAGAACTCACAGGATGTCACTGGGACCAGGGATTCAGCTCAATGTAAAGAGTGATTGGGCACTAATGGGAGAGCATGCAGAACCAGGATAGTTACTAACAGCAACGAGAATTTTTGGCAGCCAGTAGCGAGTGGTTTGAGCCCTACCATGTTTAGGCGGAGGCAAATTATCCCACATGTTTCTTTCTTCAGTTCTCTTGCAGAAGAGTTGAAACGCAAGATTAGCTAGGGCTCAGCTATCATTTTTCTGTAGAAATCTTCCTCCTTTCTGCTTTTTCTGCAGCTCCAGCTCGGTGAGCCAGGAGAGGCTCGGTCGCTGGTGTGACTCAGTGCAGCGCAGGCGTGTCCGAGCTAGGCTTGAAGCTGTGGGCTGCACAGCCACACCACTGAGGGACAACACTGGCAGCTGTCCCCTCCTCTGAGGCTGGGTGCCTGCACAGGAGCTGAGCTGGGTGCTGTTGCTGTGGCTGGATAAGTCACCCAGATCTGCATGATCTTGTCTGTATTTTGGACTTGCCTGCTTCAAACATAAAATTTCAGATCCAAGCCTAGAAATGGACAGAAGGCCATCCTGCAGGAGATGGAAACCTTCTGAGATGAGGGAAGGTTAGCTGACAGATGGACTGGAGGAAGTGAGTGGGCCTGGGATTATGATAAAGGAAATTGCCTAGAAAGTGGGAGTAGCAACTCCTCACTTTCTCCGACGGCACAATGGGATAAAAGCTGGTAGCAGCTTAGTAGAATGAGATACCTTTTTGGGATTGGACAACCCTTCCACTTCTGAGTGCATTCTATTGTTACAAACAAATAGAAAGCACACACCAGAGAGCTCTTGGTAGAGCAGAAATGGAAGGAAGGGCACAGACTCCACATCTTTTCTATCCCGGAAGGAACTCCTTTTATATTGCAAAGACCTGAAGCAGGGTCTTCCCCTGTCTCATTCTGCCCTTGGTTTGACTGCATACACAACAGTCTTAATTAATTTACAAAGAAATGTATTAGAGCAGAAGTGTCATGTTGTCAGTAATGCTTTGCAGCAAGGTGCTTTTGTTGCTCACAGTAAGGCAAGGGTTGACAGGTTTGCTCTCCTTCCCAGTGGCATCTTCTGGCTGCTGAGTTTTTCTACTAACTTGGCCACTTTGCTTGAGTGCCTTTGAGAGAGCTGTTGTGGGGCAGAGCTCTGGGATAACAGACCTTATAAATCTAAGAGAAAGAAACTACTTGGTATTATTGTGCTGGGGCATCTCTTCTTTTCCTTTAATTATTGGAAATGTTAGATTCTGTCACTGAAATGCCTAATGTGTTTCTGAAGGATGAACAGCTGAAGTCCCATGAAGCTAAGCTGAAGCAGATCTCCACTGAGCTTGCTGAACATCGCTCCTATCCTCCTGACAAGAAGCTCAAAGGCAAGGAAGTAGATGATTACAAACTGAAGGACCACTACCTGGAGTTTGAGGTATGTATGGGAAACATCGCTACTTCTACTTCTTGAGTGTGGATGGGGGATGTCTTATACTTACTTGGGGTAGAGTCCTGAAGTTCTGCACTGTTCACTTTATGCCCCCAAGAAGTATGTTCGAGTAGGCAGAAAAGTCACAGCAATCTCAGAAGCTGGAGTGCAGCTCCTTTTCCTGACAAGAACTTCCTGTGACCTTACCCATGAATTTTTCTCCCTGTCAGTAACATGGAGGATGAAAATACGACCCAATGTCCTTTCCTGACGTATCTGTTTGAAGAGGTGATAAGGTCTTCAGGCAGGACACGTCTTGTGTTGTAAGACTGCGTGTTTCCAGGTGTGCTGGAACCTCAGTCTTCACAGAATGACTGCATTCTGCAGTAGTATGGGTTGTGATAATTGTCTTCCACGTGTATGTTCTGAAGGAACTGCCATTCTGAAACTGCTGTCGTGGGCAAGCCTCGTCAGAGCCTTTTGTACTGCGAGCCAGTGAGCCAGATTGTCAGGGTCAGAAGGAAAAGGGTAGGATTAAAGATCACAGGATTGAGTGGTTCAACTTAGGCAGCTGCACTGGGAGATTGTTCTGAGTATCTGACAGCAGCTTTTATCCATCATGGTGTCTGCCACACTGTAGGGCTATGTGGGAGCAAGCTGGCAACCCACCAGATGTCTGGTATTTGTTATGACTACACCTTTGAGCTTTTTCCCTCAGAACTGTGAGTCAGTGTTGCCTCGGGTCTGAAAGGATCCTACTCTAAATAGGCAGTGCCCAGCAAGGAAAATCCATAGTCTGAAGAAGAGGAAGAACAGATAAGACGAAAGTCAGAGAACACCAGAGCTGATGCTGGAGGCAACACAACACAAACCTCCAGAGCTGAAGTAAACCTCCTGCCCTGCGTTATCAGTTTCTATTAGAGGAACTGTTTTCACTCCTGCACTTGACTGGTTGTGTACTTTTGCTTTTGGAGAAGCTTGTAATCTCTGTGTTGAGTTTCACTTTGCGGTAGCAAAGTAGTCAGCTTGGCTTTATGAAGAGGGAATCATACCTGACCAACGTGATAGCCTTTTAAAGCGAGATGTTTGGTGTGATGGATGAGGGGACAGCAGTGGATATAGTTTGTTCTTCACTTTAACAAGGACTTTGACATTGTCTCCCCTGACACCCTTGTAGACAAGCTGATAAAGTGGATTAGGAAATTGGCAGTGAAGTGGTCTGGCTGAACATTCGAGATCAAAGGGCTGTGATCAATGGCACGGTGTCAGTTTGGAACACAGCACTCAAAGCAAGCCACACACTTTGTCTCTGGACAGAGTGTGACTTGGAAGAGCAAGGAACTTCTTGGCTTTGGGTCCTTGACACAAAGTTTATTTTCTATTCCTTCTAGAACCACGATGAGTTAGGATGAAATGTAGGCTGGAATTTTAGATGTTTTTTGAAAGATTGATAGAGTAGTAGATTGTTGTGGACTTTTTTCTGTTTCTGTCAATTTTATCATGGTGATCTTTAGAGAAATATTCCTCAGGTACCTCACTACAAATCAGAACCAGTTCAGCCCAGGAAACAAAAGATGTCATCTTCTCTAGTGAGAGTGTCAAACAGCAGTTCAGATAAATGATCAGCACTGCAGGAATGCCTGTCTGAGCAGGAAAGTGGTGGCAGCAACTTCAGTTATGTGTGAGAAATGGTAATTCAAGGTGCTTCTGTGCAGTGCTGTGTTACCTTCACGCTTGGCACAGATTTCACAGGCCATGTTGAACTATCAAGAGACCGTTCCAGAATGTCAGAAAGTCAAGCAGATGAGGTAGAAGGCCAGCTTGGCTTAGAGGGATCTACTTTTAGAGCTAAGGCAAAAAAAAGTAGGTGTTTGCCTATTGGAAGCACAGTCAGGTGACGTGGGAGGAATACAGAGATGCTGCTTGCAACTGCAGGGAGAAAATTCTTGTGACCAAAGCTCAGTTGGAGTTGAAGCTGGCCAGAAATGTGGGGGACAAGAAAAACAGGTTTTTAAAGTGCGTTAATGGCAAAAGGCAGTGCTGAAATAGCATCAGACTATTATAGGATGAGGATGGTCACCTCATAAACAGGGACAGAGACAAGGCAGAGGTGTTTAACACATTCTTTGTCTCCGCCTTCAACATGGATGATGGACCAAGGGGGTCTCAGTGCTCTGAGCTGGAGGACCATGAAGTGTGAGGATAATCAACTCCCAGTCAGTCCTGAAGTTGTGTGGGATCTGCTGCTCCAGCTAGATCCCTACAAATCTGTGGGGCCTGATGGGGTGCATCCCAGAATTCCTCAAAGAGCTGGCTGATGTCATCACGAGGCCTCTCTCAATGATTTTTGAGCAGTCTTGGGAATATGGACAGGTCCCAATATACTGGAAGCTGACTAACATTGTCACAGTGTTCAAGAAAGTCAAGAAGGAAGACCCTGGAAACTGCAGGCCTATCAGTCTTACTTCAGTGCCTGGTAAAGTTATGGAGAAGATATTGTGGGAATTATTGAAAAACACCTGAAGTCATCAGTCACAGACAACATGGCTTTATGAGAGGAAAGTCCTGCTTATCAAACCCAGTTTTCTTCTATGACAAGGTAACCCAACCAGCTGATCAGGGGAAGCCAGTTGATGTCTTTTGCAGGATCTTTCTAGACCAAATGTCCAGCACACAGCTGGATAAACACACCACATGGTGGGTGAGCAACTGGCTCAAGGGTCAGACACAGAGGGTAATAGTGAGTGGGGTGACATCAGACTGGAGACCTGTCACTAGTGGGATTCCACACGGCTTCATCTTATGTGCTCTTCAACATCTTCATAGACCACTTGGATGCAAAACTCAAAGGAATACTAAATAAGTTTGTTGATGATACCAGACTGGGAGGAGACATTGACTCCCTTGAAGACAGAGATGCTGTGCAGGGGGATTTCAGCAAATTAGAGGGCTGGGCAATCCCCAACCACATGAAATTCAACAAAGGAAAGTGCCAGATCTTGGACCTGAGATGGGAAAACCCTAGATGTTTGTACAGACTGGGAAATGTGACTGCTGCTGGAGAGCAGCACTGCAGAAAGGGCCCTGGGGGTCCTGGTGGATGGCAGGTTGAATCTGAGCCAGCAGTGCCCTGGCAGCCAGGAGGGCCAAGTCTTGTCCTGGGGGTCAAAGCATCTCCAGCCGATCGAGGGAGGGGATCGTCCCGCTCTGCTCTGCCCTGGGGCGGCCTCACCTGCAATATTGTGTGCAGTTTGGGCACTGCAGTATAGGAAAGGTACAGAGATAGTAGAGAACATCCAGAGAAGATGGTGAAGGATCTAAAGGGTAAGCCATGTGAGGACCAGGTGAGGTCACTTGTTCTGTTCAGCCTGGAAAAGAGGAGACTGAGAGAAGACCTTGCTGCAGTTACAACTTCCTTGCAAGAGGAAGCATAGGGGCAGGAAACAGTCTCTCTGGTGACCAGTCACAGGACCTGAGGGAATGGCATAAAGCTGTGTCAGTGGAGGTTTAGGTTAGATTCTAGGAAGAGGTTGTTCACCCAGGGGGTGGTTGGGCACTGGAACAAGCTCCGCAGACCTGAAGTGGTTACAGCACCAAGCCTGCTAGAGTTCAAGAAGTGTTTGGACAGTGCTGTCAAGCACTTGGTGTGATTCCCAGGGCTGTCCTGTGCAGGCCAGGAGTTGGGACTTCGATGGTCCTTGTGGGTCCCTTCCATTTCAGAATACTCTGTGATTCTTTAAATAAAAAACCAAACCAAACTAAAATGAAAAGGTGAGCTATGAAAACCATGAATGGAAACTTTTTGCTGGTTTTGGGGTTTCCTAATCTTGCCTTTAGAACAATATACTGTTGGGGTCAGGCAGGAGGTGGTGACAGGAGGTGGTAGCTGTATGGTTAAACCAAAAGGGAAAGAGGCAGGTGAGGCATTACTGCCTCTTTTAGGTTGAGATTGCAAGTCAGACCTTGTATCTGTGTACAAAGATGTTGATACATCTACAGAAGAACAGCAAAACGACCTGTGAATCCCTAAGGAAGCAGCATAGTCCCATGAGGGAGGAAGAAGCCATTTTCCTTTTCTGTAGGTCCTTACAGTTCCTTTTTGTTCACACCCTAGCCATCCCTTCATTCCTGTTCCTGATGAAAACCAAGTAAGATGGTTTTTCCTTCTGAGGGGAGGTGAACCAAGAGATGTCTGGGTCCTTGCTCAGGGATGCAGCAGGTAGCATTTCTTTTTGATGGTGTCTTTGGTTCCAGACACCAAGGAAGGAACAGTTCTCTTTGCCTTCTCTCTGAGGAAGTACCGCACCAGATTGCAGAAAACTTGTTGCAGAGAATTTATAGTTTGAGAAAGATCTTTTGAGTGCTGTCAGGTGAGAGGTGAAGGCAGAATACTGATGGGTGGCTACCTCGTCTCCTCTTTATTATGTTCATTCAGTCTTCAGAGATAATGTTGCAGAAACTTCTGAGTGGTTTCAACTTCTGTGGTTTTATTTTCTTGACAGAATTTTCCAGATTAATTTCTCTTAAGGCAAAATTCCCACCAGCTTTTACCTAACTGCAAATGTCAGGTCACTAAAAGACCAAGTGTTTTGCAGTTGAAATAAAAATAGAAATGCATCGATTAATTGCAGTAGGAATCAGGGGCCCACAAAGTCCGGGGGAAAATGGCCATTTGCACACATATAGATCTTGGATTTCCATTCTGATTGCCGAGTCTTGTGACCCTGCTTGTGTTTACTGGACTTATAAAAAGCAGATCTCCATATGGCAGTAAAATCCCTCTCTCATTTGATGAATATTATGCTATTTCCAAGCTCAGAGCATTGGTTTGCCTTTTGCAGAGGTGTCTGGTTCGTTGTGTGATGAATCATCCATCAGCCCTGTGCATCATCATCAGGGTTCTGCTTGCTGTTTCTCCATTTCCATTTTTATTAAATGACACATCTTACCTGCTTCATGTGTTTGTCTCTCACATTGTGGAGCTGGAGCTCCAGATATGGAATTGATAGGAATGCTTTTTTATTTAATTTTTAGGCCGATTTTGTTGTGATCCTCCTCTGTGAGTATTTGTTTATTCAAAGGATTCTCAAAACCCAGTCACCTTCTCTTCCCCCTCCCCCCGCCCCCTTTATATTCCGCACTTCAAAGCAGTTAGCGAGCTTTTTGACTTCCTGCCCTCAAATAAGTGTTTTTATCTGGAACTTCATTTTTTTACTGGAAATTGGAACATTTTTTTCTTAAATACCTTTTCCTCTGCCAGGAACATAATAGTTTGGCCTCTGTTTTGCCACTTTGAAATACAAATTAACAATCAGGATGGATGTTAACATTCTCCTTCCCTGTCCCCCAGCACACTTAAGGTCGCCTTAATTACAGTGCCTGCACCACGTCTTCAGTGGGTATGTCAGGGGCAGGTTATTAAACAGATCCTGTGAGGTGGATTGCTCTGCTCTCAGGACCTCCTGCCCCTGCATCTGTTTTTGAGGCCCTGCAGGGATCTTCTATTACAGTGCCCTCATTTTGTTCCTTTCTGAGTTGTTTCTTGCAGAAAGATGTAATTGTGGCAAGCAGAGCAAAATCTTTCGTTGGAGAGGGAAAGGTCTGGTCCAGATATGGAATAGAACAAGTGGGGATGGCACACAGTAAAAGGAACTTCTTTCCACTTGAAAAATTAAAGGGTCTGGGCAGAGAGCAGCCTTCATCATTCCCTGTAAGTGACCCTGGCAGGGGAACATGCCATGCTGCTGTCATAGCCCTCTCATCTGCTCCTTTTTGTCAAGGTCTGGTCTTGCAGAAGATCCTCTCACAGGCCTAGTGGTGGTACTATCTGAACTTAGTGGGACACTGCTTTGGTTTCTCCCTTATAGGTAAAAAAAGCAGGAAAAGCAGTCGGGAGAAGAGCAGGAAACGCGGGACCTGCGGGTGGGAGCGAAGGGTTGCAGGGTAGAGCTGCAGACAACCAGAGCAGGACTTTTGCTGTCCCTTAATTTACTGCACTTTATTTCCATGCCTGCACGGGACACGTGGCATCCCAGTGTGCTTGGGCATGGGATATGCCTCAGTGTGACCAAGGTCAGCAAGCTTTCACTCGGCGGTGTTGCTCGGAAATCACCGTGCTAGCTGCGAGCCCCCGTTCAGCAGAGCGTCGGAATTCGTGTGCTGCGGAACTGAGTGCCTCTAATTGCACAGCACCCTGGGGCTCAGCCTGCCTGAAATCCGCTTTGTGCAGTTTAATTTACATTAGCCACCATTGTTCATGTCCACATCAGGCACCATTGTTCGCGCCCATATTAGGCTGCTGGCTTCCAGGGCCGGTGGAAACCACAGACGGTCTCTCAAGTGCTCTTGCAGAATTTCTCCTGGACTGATCTGGGCCTTTTCTTTTCGTTTCCCAGAAAAATCGCTATGAGATTTATGTCAGCCTCCTGAAAGAAGGAGTGAAGGAGCTGCTGAGTGGAGGAGAGAATGATGCGCCAGGACTGAAGAAATCCCACTCAAGTCCTTCTTTGAATCAGGAGTCTCCAGTTAGTGCCAAGGTGAAACGCAATGTCTCGGAGAGGAAGGACTACAGGCCAGAAACACCCAGCATCAAGCAGAAGGTCACTTAGGGCGGAGATGACAGCGAGGGGAACAGCCATGCAGCAAAGTACCGGTGGTCAAAATTTTTTTTCATTTAATAACCTGTCATTCACAAAAAAATAAGTGCATCTGCCTGAATGGGGTGTTAGTGACATTTTCTATTGTATATTTTGCTGTTTCTGTGCAGATTGTGGGAGATGTCTTTGCTCCTGCTTTGCTTTGCTTTGTTAATTTATCATTTAGCAATTGAAGCATCGGGACTTTTTTATGTTGTTCTGTTTCTAAAGGAGCTGGGGGAGGGGTAGAGCGCTGTGACGTATATTCTGTCTCTTCCCCGTTTATCTCCTCCCATCGGCATGTGGCTTTCATCTCTCAAGTCACTTGTCACTTTATTTACGTGGTGGGTGGGAAAAATAACTGGACAAGTGCTGCAGTGCTGTGAATGTAAGCTGTAGCTGTGAGAAAAGCTGTGCAGCTGCAGAAGCCTGGCTAGAGCCTGGGGTGCTGGGAACACTGGTTTCCTGTCAGTGTGGGGCATGGTACTGGTACTTAGCAGCAGGTGCTACAGTAAATAGTCACTGTTGCTTATTGTTACTGCATTGAGGCTGAACCCACAAGTGTGAAGGAACGAAACCTGGAAACCTCTGGCAATGCTGGGATGACGGCATTGGAATAATTTGTTTGCTTCCTTCCAAGCGAAGTCTTCTCCTGAGTTTGCAGGCTGGAATGCTGGAAAGGCTGGAAAGCATCCAAACCCGTGCTGTCTCTGCTGTCACGGAGATTAGGGTTTACCCAGCTGGAATGACTCTCTGGGTTTTACATTTATTTGCAGAGGAGGCTGCTGTAGAATCAGCCATTAGCATTATATATTAAAAACAAAGGGCCTCTGTGTAGTTCTTAACTATACGCTCTCACTTAGCTGCTATATAGAGCCTTATGATATATTGTGTCCTGTTGCTTCCCCTTCCAGGAGTTTCCTTGTTGGTGTGCACAGAGAACTTCTTTCGGTTCCTCTGATAGTGACAAAGCACTTTGTCTTTTTTCTTCAGGAAGGGATTCTCCTCAGTTCTTTATTTTCCTGCTTTAGCTCACATATAGGTGAAAGGGGTTGGTGCAGAGCAGAGAAGGGGACAGACATGCCCTTGCTGCAGACCAGGGTTTGATGCTGTCCTGGCTACTCTGTGCCTGGAGGCCAGCACAAGGCAGCCTCAGCTTTGTCAAGTCATACCCTCCACCCACAGAGAACAAGCCCTGCTCACAGCTCCTGCATACCCTCCTCCAGGCTTTCAGAGGAGAGTGCAAGACAGGGAGACACCACCATGAGTAAGAGCTTTCCATACCTGAAAGCCCACAAACCATTGGGGTGGCCAGCAGTTTTCAGGTATAGAGAGTAGAAAGATGACGTAGAAATTATTTTCCTGCTTCCCAGCCCCTCTTGCCTGGGCAGCATCATGGCTCTGCAGAGAGCACTGGCTCTCCTGTTACTTAGCATCCTGGCTTTTAATCTCAGGCTTGATACTGGCCGAGAGGGTGAGCTTGGACAGATCTCTCCCATTTTGACTCACTCTTTTCCAGTGTGGAGTAGTACAGCCAAACTGGCCTTTCCCACAGAGTACCTTGGTACGTAATGTTGAGGACCATTTGAAAATTGTTTCTTGCTGTTATTTTTGTTGTGCCTGGCACAGGACAGCCTTCCTGATGGATGCAATTCTTAATGTATATAGAAATGTCAAGATCAATGCAAGGACTGTTTAGAAATGCGCTGGTGCTTCCAGCCCAAGTAGTCGAAGGGCCACACATCAAAAAAAAATTGCCACCTGAGTGGATTTGTGCTCTGCCAGACCTCCCAAGGGTCCAAGTCAATTAATCTAGCTTATTGAACTGCCAGTTCTGTGGGCAGAACTGGGAGCGATCAAAGAGAAAAGGCCCTTGACAGACACCGCATGACTTGCCTCCCCCACTGAGTGCAACAGCTTTCCCAGTGCTGTGCTGACTCTTGGCTGTAATGAAGGTTTTGCGCTTTTCAGGTGCTGGGAGGTCTGGGAGCAACTTGATCCTTGCCTGGCATCAGAAACCAGATGGTACCATTTTCATAAGTGATGTTGGGATGCACACGCATCCGGCATCTGCCACTGGGAGTGGCCACTCCATGGTGAAAGTCGTGATGTTGGCCCTCACCTTGGCAGCGTTGCTAAAAGCTGCAGAAGTTATTCATTCTTACTAAGGTTACTAAGGTTATTCATTCTTACTAAGTACTTAACATTCAGTCCTCCTGACGGAGAGAGATGTCTACTGCTGCTGGAGCCAGAGCGATGTGGTGCAGCTTGTTGGGGTAGGGAGGCTCAGGGTAGACAGATACATGATAGGGTTTATTGGGAGGGATTATTTGTGTTAATTAAGAGTGGTAGATCAGCAGCTCGTGGAAGGGAAAGAAAAGCTAGATGCCTGCAGCTGTTCATCATGCTCTGGAGGTTTAAAACAAGTGAGTGGAACAGACAGAAGAAGAAATTTGTTTGGGGAATGCCGAATGCGCATTGGAGAAGAAAACTTGACCTGTCCGTTGTGGTTTAGGAATGGTATTCCCCAGTTTAGTGTTCCCACTGAGACTCTCCAAACCACATGCCACTTGCTCACTGTCCCCCTTCCCCTCCCCTTGCAGCAGGCTGGAGAGGAGAACTGGAGGCATAAAAACGTAAAGCTCACAGGTTGAGATAAGACCAGTTTTACTGGAAACAGCAATGAGATAGGGAAATTAACAGTAATGTCAACAATATCAATAACAAAGTAGACAAGAGAGGGAAACAATTCACAGACGAAAGTTCTCCAGCAGAGCCTGACAATACCTGACCTCTTGCCCCATCCCTGAAAAATGATGTGGGTGGTATAGGATAACCTGCTGGTCCTAGCCATGCCTCCTCCTGGCTACTGCAAAAATTAACTCTGTCCTGGCCAGAACCAGGACATTGTCTTGCATAACAACGTTGGGACACATGCAGCAGAAACAAAACCAAAAAAAGTGCAGACCTGTAAATGGGCCCTGCTAGGCTGTCAGGGTGGGGGTCACTAGAGGATCTTTTTGAAAGCAGGCTAGAACATGCTTAGCAGACCTCTTGTGATTATGGAGTGTGGTGGTTTAAATGCCAAAGAAGTGACATTTGACTTTTTTTCCCCTCTGGTTTTTGACAAATTCTGGTTGCCATAGACTTCAGTGAAATTGCTGAGCTCAAAAAGAAATTACTCCTGTTTAATGCATTTTCCAGCTTTGACATGGAAACTATCAAAGTCATTGCAGAGAAGACGATTTGAAGCAGTATGAAAAATCAAAAAGTGAACTGCAAAAATGATTTTTTTTTTCATTATTTATTCTCTGTTTCCATGTATACTTGTTAATGGATTAGGGTATATTTTTATGTCTCATCTGGGCTTATCAAATGCAGTTTTTCACTGCATTTTTTAGTCATTTAACCTTTGTTGATCTTGGAGCATTGTTGGTGAGACTGCTGAGGCATGCAGATTAGTTTACCCAGAATCTGTAAGTTCTGTTCAAGTTTACAATTAATCCCATTTTGCTCTGTTAGTTTACAATTTGTAACCATCCCAAGCACCTGTGTAAAAATGCGCGTTTTGGAGGCCAAGCAAAAAATGTGATTCTGTTGTGGAAGGCTCCTGTCCTCCCTTGGGAATAGGATCATCTACCAAGCAGTGCTGCAATACCTGATGATATTATACAGAGTGGAGCAGGTTCTCAGGAGGTTTCAGCTGTGCATCTGCTTGGGTGGCAGCACTGAGGGTGTGGACAGGTAGCTTTGTGTGGTACCCTCCACCTTGCCCTTCTTTGCTGCAGCATTTGCCTTTAGGAGAAATCAGTGCTCGACCTCAGTGACTCAGGAGCTTTGGTTATGGTAGGTAAGGATACTCTGCTGGTTTCCAGCCCTCCTCTGGGACTCAGCACGCACCAGAACTGCGTTCCAGTGAGCAGCCTGCAGCTTTCTGGGGATGCTCAGTGTAAGCAGGAGTCACTGGCAGCCGCCACAAGCATGTGTGCATGTGTGAGCCTTTGCAGTGATGCAGGGAGGCGTCGTCCTTCCCTGTGAGCCTCCCTGCTGCAGTGTGCAACCATTGCCCAGGCAAAGCCTCTGCCTGCAGGCTGAGAGGAGGGATGCAAAGAGGGGAGCAGGGTGGGGCCAGCAGCTCCTCACTTCCCCCCATCTCGGTTCTGGAGGGGCCCAGAAGCATTGCTGGTTGCTCACCCTCGAGGGGCTGAACCAACTTCTACCCACAGCTAAGGAAGGAGAGATAGGAGAGGGCCTCACTCATACCTGAGAGCAGAGAGGTGAGGGAGAAGTAGAAAACTGTCTTCCCTTCTCCCCACTCAGCAACCAAAGAAGGTGAGGTACTCTCCTGAAGCCAAAACCACTCTCTGCTCCATGAGTCAGCAGGATGCAGGGGTCTGGTTGAAGTGGTTTTCATTCGTCAGTGGCTGCGAAAGAGACTCTCTGGACTGGTTGTGTGTTTGTGTGCATCTTGCAGATAAATCATGCATGGACCAGCGAGCATGACTACAGCTTCTAAATCCAGTATTTATGTTGTGTCTTTAATTGATGTAGAGAGATAAGTCAGCCAGCAGAGTGATTAATGCAGCGGAGCTGTGGGGGAGCGCTGTTCAGCTGCGACGCCGACTCAGGCAGTTTTTCATCTGTAGCCAGTCACTTGTAAATGGTTACCAGAAGCTTTCTAAGGGTTAGTAGCAGCTCATTGCTGTAATGCTTTCCCTCTGATCCCACGTGCTCCCAGTCTGTCCACATTAAGGGGCTCTCCTGGAGCACAGTGCTCGACGCAGCCACGGTTTGAGCCAGAGTATGGCCTAGCAGCCCTCCAGAGACTGGAATTGTTCAGTGGCTTTGCACAGCTCCAGTGCGTTGAAGTGGCGAGGCTGGTTGCTCTTCTGTCTTGAAACAGCCAAAATTTTTGCCTTTCTCCAGTGGGGAGATGAAGTTGATTAGAGCAGGGCGGCCAGTGAGGAGGTGGTTGTGGCAGTGGAGAAGGCTAAAGGTGACAGGGTTATCACCAGGCTTCTTGAAGGCATTGTGTGGCGATGTTCTCCTTGAAGGTGGGGAAGGCTTTTCTCTGCAGATGGCATACTGCTTAGTGTGTCTGCATTCTCCGTTCCTAAATGAATTTTGGTCTTATTGCAGTTAGTCTGACAGCTCCTCCTCCTTTTCTGTCAAGCTGCTCCTGTCTGTCATCTTAGCACCTCAGCTGCTTCTGTATAACAGGTCTGTTTCCTTCCATGCTTGCAAGAAATCCAGAAAATTTGGCTGTCCCATCTTGCGCTGAGAAAACCTGCTCTGAAGCAGTGCTGCTGCGTTGAGTGGATAACCCCGTGAACAGCTTTCTCGCCCTGCTTGTCGGTAGCCTGTGTTTCCAGCCACAGTTGTAGCTGGGAGGTGTGAGACCAAGTTTTAGACTGCCGTGATCCTCCAGTGTTGTTCTGCAGGGATGCAAAGTCCCCTCTCCCACGCACAGACCAAAAGACTTGCAACATTCCGAGTCTTCTAGTATCCAGGTTGTTGGAAACGCTGTCTGCTTCTGCAGAGGCAAAGGCAGCATACACACTTTACGTCAAGTGGTCTTTCAGCTTGATGCTTGTTTGAAGTTTCCCCAGTATTGCTCTCCCCAGGCTCTAGGATGTCACATTTGCTCTGAGAGGGCAGTTAATAAGTCCACATTTCTCACCAGAGCACAGCCATTGCTCCCCAGCATGTGTTCCCAGCATGTGATATCTAGGCTGCCTGGAGGGATGAACTGTAGAAGCTTTTTCAAAAAGAGCTTGTGCTTCTTGGAGAATATTTTTAGCACGTATAGGATCAGTATGCCTGGCCTCTCCTCTCTCCCGGCAGCATCGGGGTAATACAGTGAGCGGCTTCACCTGGAGCTTCACGGTGGGGACCTGAGCTCCAGGAAGCCATCAGAGAAATGGCACCACCTGAGCTGAGCAGCAATGCTCACAAGGACAGTGGTTCTGTAGGAAGGAAATGAGCCAGTGCCACCCTTCATGGCTGCTCACCTGCTGGAGACTGTGTTCTCAAGCATTGCCCTCAGTGCTGGGGGTTATTAGAAACACTTTCTCCCTTTTCCCTCTGGATTGTGCTGCTTGAGGAACTGTCCCTACCACCTGCTGCTTTTCTCACTTTGTGACAGCAGCACCCTTATCCAGGGGTGCCAGAGTCCCTTTGTGAGCAGACTGGTTTATGTGAGAGCAAGGAGGACAGGTCCTTGGAAGAAGTGTCCCAGCGCCATCTGGGAGTATCTGCTTTGCTGGAGGCAACAACAAAAGCCTGAGACCATGTCCCTTGCTCATACCTTTTGTTAACTGCACTGAGGTTGTATTTTAGGTAGAGCCCTTGCCTTACCAAATGCAAGCAACAGCTTTTCCAAAGGCTGCACCATTGACCTGACTTTGCCCCTGTGATCAGAAAGAGCAAATTTAGGCCAGCCCAAAAGCATTCTCTCTTCCCCACCTCTGAACACTTAACTATTCCATAAAAATGATAAATGTTTAAAAAATGAGGGACCTCCCATGGCATCTTCTATTAAATCTGGGCCAGGCACCAGCTGCAGTACAGACCAGAGGTTTATTTGGACCAATGAAGCATACATCACTTAGCAATGCAAGGATTGAAAGTGCTACAAACTAGGAGGGAATGACTTTTCTCTGACATAAACTGTCGTAATTAGTAGCCACTCTGTAGCAGCGGTCCTGTCTGTAACTCACCTAAAGGAGACCAGCACAGCAAGATACTTTTTGTCTAAGCAGGCAAGGTTTCAGGTCATGCCACAGAGCAGCCAGCCAAGCTGCCTTGGAGACTTATTTGACACCAAATGCTCCGACTCCCCTGAGGCTCTTGCTGGGAGAAGGGGGATCAGTGGTATGGAGCCTGTGTCACTGCATAGAGCAAACTCTGTTGGTGATATAAGTCTTAATTCACTTACACTCTTCTGGAAACCTCATGCTCAGTGCTATCAAATTCTGAAAGACTGTAGGATGAGAACAGGGGTGGGTTGTGGTTGGTTTTTTTTTAAAATTTGTACATATTCGTGACAACTATGTCCTCTTACTCAATGCTAGGATTATAATTTGGCTGAAAGAACAAGAGTTTTTTTGGGAGTTCAAAAACTTTGAAATCACTTGTCTCTGGGTGAGGTACACTCTGAGGCTTA